TGGCAGATTCCTCTGAGGAAGGATCTACTGACTTAGAGACGGGGCACCCTGTGGCACCTGCGTCCAGACCTCTGGAAACTTCATGTCTGACGCAGAGGTTCTTGGTGACCTACCCCAAGAGGTGGTTGACACCATCACTTCGGCGAGAGCACCGTCTACAAGACACGCTTACGCCTTGAAGTGGAACCTGTTTGTTGAGTGGTGTTCTTCTCGTCGAGAAGAACCCCGGAGATGCCCGATCAGGGTCGTGCTTTCCTTTTTGCAGCAAGGGTTGGAGCGAAGGCTGTCTCCCTTCAACCTTAAAGTCTATGTCGCTATGTGGCTTATCAGGCTCAGGGTGTACCCTGACCGCTCAGGTTGCGAGCTCACTCTACTAGGAGTGTTGCATCCTCCTGGGTGCTGGCTCGTGGTGCCTCGCTGACAGATATTTGTAGAGCTGCGGGCTGGGTGACCTCCAACACGTTCGCTAGATTCTATAGCCTTCGTGTGGAGTTGGTATCCTCCTGTGTTCTCACCTCAAATGGGTAGAGGAACTGAGAGGCCCCGGTTTAGTGTCGGCTTGCTAAAACTGCTCCAGAGAGTCTGTACTGTAGACCCTGTCGAGTTCCTCCATCCCCTCGGCAGCCAGACATGGTGGAACGTCCGGCGCCAGGCCCTCTCTCACTGAATTCGTGAGAACCGGTTGAGGGCTGGGTTCCATATGTAGAGACCTAAGCGGATCCCATATGTGTAAAGTCCACAGTATAGCCTCAGAGCCCGTGTTTCCCCGGCAGACTCCTGCCATTTCCATGAGGGTTTCAATCACCTCTAATCTTCCATATGCACCTAAACAGATGTTCATATGTGTAAGTGCTTCCGAAACCTCCTTCAGGAAGGATAGGGCTTCTGCAACGTTCCTGTTCCAAGTGGAATGGGTACGTTTTCCCAGTGTTATCCAATCTCACTGAGTGGGTAGTGCTATGACAACAGTGACTGGTCTTCTTGTTGCGAGCCCCGGCCAACACCACAAAGGGGCGCAGGAGGCTCGCACAGGACACTGGAAGGGGCAGCATCCATGGCGCTTTGTTATATATACCTAACCCAATTTTTCGGAGTGACCGACTGAAAGGGAACGTCTTGGTTACGTATGTAACCCTCGTTCCCTGAAGGAGGGAACAGAGACGTCACGTCCTGTTGCCACGGCTGCTGTACCACCGATGAGCGGCCGGGTCACCGGTATGCGTTGCACCGGCTGCCTTTTTATGCTCACGCTGTGATCAGCGGCAGCTGGATACAATCATCGCATGCCAATGTGCATTGGCTCGTTTAGTTTACACTCGAAGGGGATTGGTCTCTCCAAGCGAGATCCCAATTCGTCGGTCACCGATGTGACATCTCCGTTCCCTCCTTCAGGGAACGAGGGTTACATAGGTAACCAAGACGTTTTTTTTTAAACGACTGTAATATTCACAAATCACAAGTTTCCCTCAGTCTAAATCCACTATATCTAATTTTTTTTTATTAAAAAAATGTTTAAAACAGCTTTTCCCCCCTATTTTTTACTATTCGTTTTTATTCGTTTGCTTTTTAATCACTTTTATAAAAAATGCTTTGAATTAACAGTGTATGAGCAAATAATCTTTTAAAAATTTACTAAAAGGAGGTTTGTGGTCTTTTTAAGGATGATTAAAATGTTTTTTCCCGTCATCGTTGTTGTTGTTATTAAACTATAAGTTGAATCAACACTGCACTAAGCTGAGCTGAATAATGACGCTATTATCTTCAGTAGAGCTGCTTTTATAATTGTTGAATTTTACATTAAAACTGTTATTTTCCTGTTTATTACTGTGAAGCTGCTTTAAAACGATCTGTATTGTACAACATGAGAAATTTGTACACAAGCACACGTTTATTGTACCTCGTCATCGTTCACGACTCCTCCATCGAACACTTTGGCCACGAGCTCATGACTGAAGTGATCCAACAGGAACACAGAACAACTGAGAGAAAGACAGAAAATAGCTCTGAACACAACTGAACAAACCCAGAATATCCGTGTTTCAGCTCAGTCCGCATTAGACTTGTAAATATTTAGAGCCTGCTGACAGTGTGTTTGATTAAATGTTACAATATTTGATTGGAGTTAATTGATATTTATGAGCCGCTGCTCTTGTCATGCTAACCGTCTGGAATTGGTTTGGACGAAACCCAAAACTATCAAACCCATATTGAAGCTTGTGTGTGTGTGTGTGTGTGTGTGTGTGTGTGTGTTGAAGGGTCAGGGCAGTATGTGCTATTCCTGGTGCATTGTGGGATTTCACAGCACTCTGGATACTGAGAGACTCCCAGAGCTGTCCATATAGAGTCCATCACTCTCTCTCACGCATTCTCTCAATTTAGTTCAATTCAATTCAGTTCAATTGAATGCAATGGAGTTCTATTCAAATAGCTTCATTAGCATGACAAAAGTACATTTTGTATTGCCAAAGCATTAAAATAGTTGAGGAGTTGATGGTAGATGAACATTCTTCAAAATATCTTCTTTCATGCGCTAAAGTAGAAAGAAACTCATACCGGTTTGGAACGACATGAGGGTGAGTAAATGATGGCAGATGTATTTTTTGTGAACTGTCCCTTTAAGTCAGTTTCTCGTCTTCTCACCTGACACTCGAACTTGAGTTTCTGCTCTTTCTGGAAGGCCAGTGTGCTGGTGAGAACCGTCGACGTGTAACAGAAACAGTGCTGGATCACATGCTCATCCGCCTCCATGTACCTCAAAACACAACAAATACAAACACCATATTAATGCCCTTACTAAATCAGCAGCCAGCTCAAAAGGTCAAACTAAATATATGTGACCCTGGAGCACAAAACCAGTCATAAGGGTCAGTTTTGTGAAAATTAGATGTATTCATAATCTGGAAGCTGAATAAATAAGCTTTCCATTGATGTATGGTTTGTTAGGATCGGACAATATTTGGCCGAGATACAACTATTTGAAAATCTGGAATCTGAGGGTGCAAAAAAATCTAAATATTGAGAAAATCATCGTTAAAGTTGTTTAAATGAAGTTCTTAGCAATGCATATTACTAATCAAAAATTATCAGGAAATCAGCATATTATACTGATTTCTGAAGATCATGTGACACTGAAGACTGGAGGAATGATGCTGAAAATACAGCTGCACATCACAGAAATACATTACAGTTTAACAGATATTCACTTAGAAAACAGCTGTTTTAAATCGTAATAATATTTCACTATTTGTAATGTCATCACACACCTCTGTCCACTCAGTTTGTTGAAGGTACACGCTAGCGCCACCACCTGTCCAGTGGCTTGACTGATTACAGGAACGCAAAGCATCGAGTTCGGCTCGAACCCCAACAAACTGCTTAATAACCCGCGTTCCTCCTGTAGAGACACACAGACAACATTCAATCCGTCATACGGTGACGTCAACATGTGTGTGTGTTTGGTGAGTTTGATCCTGATTAAAAGGAAGGATAGTGACAGTTTCTGTTCCAGCTGAACTCATTTAACACAGATCAACTGTCTGTCTGTCTGTGGTGATAATTAGCTGGTTTTGGAGAGCTGTCAGCTGGGAACGAATGAAAAAGCTCCATTATTATCCGCAGCTGTGTGTGTGTGTGTGTCTGTTTGTGAGTGTGAGTGCATGTGTGTGCATGCGTGTGCGTGTCTTTGTGAGAGTGTATTTGTGAGAGTGTGTGTGTGTGTGTGTGAGAGAGTGTGTATGTGTGTGTGTGTGTGAGTGTATGTGTGTGCGCGCGCTTGCGTGCGCATGCGTATGCGTGAGTGTGTGTGTGTGTGTGTGAGTGTGAGTGCGTGTGCATGAGTGTGTGTGTGTGCACATGCGTGTATGTGTGTGTGTGTGTGTGTGTGTGTGTGTGTGTGTATGTACTAACCTGGCTGGCCTCCTGGAGAGTAATGGATTTCTTTGTCTCCACCACCTGCCCAAAGCGACCGAACATAAGCTGTATAGAGAGAGAAGGTTATTTGTTTGTGTGTGTGTTCGTGTGTGTGTGCGTGTGTGTGTGTGTGCGTGCGTGAGTGAGTGCGTGTGTGTGTGCGTGTGTGTGTGCTTGTGTGTGTGTGCTTGTGTGTGTGCTTGTGTGTGCTTGTGTGTGAGTGTGGGTGTGCTTGTGTGTGTGTGCTTGTGTGTGTGAGTGTGTGTGTGTGTGCACGTCAAATGTCAAAATGTTTTTTATTTTGTCACATAGTGAATCAGCAGTGATTTTTGCATGCCATTTTACCTGTGCATCTGGAAAACAGCTGTTTTTTACTGTATTTGTCATCAAATAAATGCAGCCTCAGTGAGCAGAAAAGACTCTTTCAGAAAGAATATAAATATATTTCTGAGTGCGTCACCTGACAGAAGAGTTGGTGATTATCTTCAGAGACCAGCAGTAAACAGCAGCACTGCGACTGAGTTTCTGTCTGCAACTGAGAGAGAAACACACACATCAATGCTTATGATAACTAGAAAAATATATACTGACTATAAAAATAAAATGTTCTATCATTTTTAAAGATTTTACTCATTTTCATGACATTTCTAGGCATTATTATTTTAAACCATTTTCAATATTCCTTTAAAAAAATGATGGGATATTGTATTAAATTCTTCCCTCTGCTTTAATGCATTGGATTTTCTGTCCATCCGGATGTTGTGGACCACAGAACGACTAAACAGCACACTGACAGAAACCACAGTAACGTGCAGCAAGATCTGACAGCGAGATATTAAATCAGACACAAACACTGAACGAGCGAAAGAGAAATGCAGAAACGCTGCTTGGCCTCTTTACCTTCTGGAGTGATTTATTCGGAGAGGCGACAGACAACATTCATTTTTCAAACCAGCCATTCGTAAAATGTTTTCTCTTAATTCAGACTGAACGGCGTAATGAAATCAGATCATTTCAGGGATTATTGCATTCTGGAGATGAAATTGTGTTCGGTAATAACGCAGAAAGGGGTTACGACTCAAACGTCTGTGTGTAAGGCAGGTATATGTCATGAATGTCATTTATGCATGACACAACAACAACATAAAACTATTTAATCAAATAAAAAGGGAAAAAACAGGCCGTTTAATAAAATAAAATGAAACTGGAAAATTAAAATAAAAGTTTGATACAGCTGTTTTTCCATCATGTGATATTTATTAGGAGGTCAATATTTAAATATCACAAAGTCAATTAAAAAAATATATTGTTTTTGCTTCCTGAAGGTGTTTTAGATAAATATAAAAACACATATAAAGTGCAATAATGGCCACAAATAATACATGTATAAATAACACATCATGGCATAAATATTTAAGCACACTGTCTTGTCTAGATTATATATTTAACAATATTGATAAAGATTATTCTTGGTATATTGATCAAACAAACTGATTTGATGATGCATTTTAAAACAGTTGTTTTGAACGTATTTGATAATGTGATTCACAGACGGGTTAGAAACGTTGAAAACAAAGACAAAAACAGGGATGGTGCTCGCTGTTACGGAAATGAAAGTGTGTGTGTGTGTGTGTGAGTGTGTGACTGTGTGTATGTCTGTGTGCGTGCGTGTGTGTGTGTGAGTGTGTGTCTGTCCTTTCCTCGCTACAATTGAATTGAAACAATCTGAATAAATACAGATAAGCTTATTATGCATATGATCATTCAGGCACTGACCTGTACAACACAAATCTCACTCACACACACACAGTCTCACACACACACACACACACAAACTCACACACACTCACTCTCTCTCTCACACACACACACAGACACACAGACTCACACACACTCACACACACAGTCTCACACACACACACAAACTCACACACACTCACTCTCTCTCTCTCACACACACACAGACACACACACTCACACACACACACACACACACACACTCACACACACACACACACTCACACACACAGTCTCACACACACACACACACTCTCTTTCACACACACACACACACACACACACAAACACACACTTTAATTTCCGTAACAGCGAGCAGCAATAAACATTATGACCTGTAAGTGAACATAAATCAGCTCCAAACGACACGACAAACTCATCTGCTGATCTGACTGCATTTAGATTTGTACCTTCTTGTGATTGTCCATTGACTTCTGTTGTTTTTATACCAAGATAATGATAGTTTGTCCCCTAAATGTCACAGAAAGCACAACTACAGCTAACAAAAATATATTCTGATATATTTTTGCTAAAATTGCCATTACATTATGAAATATTTGATTTCTGAATGTTCTCCGAACATTTTAAACGTGCAGTTTTTAAACGGTTTAAAATGTTTTTCTTGGTAAGGGTTAGGTTAAGGAACATTAAAGAAACATTACATTTTAACATTTTGCAGACAGTATGGGAACGTTACTTTTGTTCTCTGAACGTTCTGAAACAAGTAGCAACATTTAAGAAATGTTAGACAAACAAGTTTCACAAAAAAATGTTCCATAAACATTCCACATTGTTTATATACTGTAAATAACGTTTTTGTGCTAAGAACATTATTAAAGACCAGATAACTTTGAATGAATGTTCCATTAATGTTACTGGAAGAACGCTTGTAACAGGGAGCACAGCTGTGCTGTCTATGTAGGCAGCTCACTAGGTTTGGAAACAGAGCCGTCACCTGCAAAACAATTAATTCTGTTCCCTCTCATCACAAAGTCTAACGACACTGAATAGAAGTGTGTGTGTGTTTGACTTGTGACTGAGGTTAATTGTTTCTTGGCCAAGTTGTAACTGAATGAGGGTCCAGAGGGACTGTAGATCAGTGACCTTCACGAGGAGCTGCAGGCGTCTCAATAACACTCTTATCACTATCTCAGCCCACCTTCCTCGTTCATAAGGATAGAAAACAGCTTCGTAAATAGGAAGATTTCAATACATGAGGATTCTGAATGGGATTTTTTTAGTGAGCCATTAAATGACTCGAGACTCGACTCGGACTCCAAGTTAAAGACTTGTGAACATCTCTGGACTGATTACATGACCTAAAATGTGTAATGTAATACATTACGTTACTAACTATAATTTTTGTCATGTAATTTGGAATCGGTAACGGATTATAATTTGTAAGTATTCTAGCCAGCTCTGGTTATGAGTCTGTACTTACATAACTGATGACTTTGAGCTGCAGGGAGGCGGCGTCCAGATCATACAGCTCACCTGCCAATCACACACTTACACTGAGGGAGTTTTTACATTACATTACGTCACACAGACAACCCAGGCTCATTCGAAATACATGCCTCTAAATGCATTTCTGCAGCACCGTTATTACGTTCCTGACTGCACGTTTCGCCGCAGTTTCAAAGTGAAACGTCCAGTGAGTGGCGCTAAAACGCGGGTTCAGTACGTTTGTTACGTTGATATAGGCACGTATTGCTGTGTTTGTATTACGTTGCTTCAGGTACGTATTGTGGCGGTTCGTAATTCAAATATCTAAGGAGTGACGCTAAAAATGAATGCTCTGTCGTGTTGGAAATATCCCCTACACCAAACATTTACATTTAGCCATTTAGTAGATGCTTTTATCCAAAGCGACTTACAAATGATGAACACACACACTCACACTCACAACACACAACACACACACACTCACTCACTCACTCACTCAC